AGAGAGCTCCACAGGGCCTCAATAGTCACACCGCACAGCAGTGGGGTTCCTTTTCTAAAGATTAGTGCAACACTCCATAATCGTATGCACACACAGCTATAGGTCCTCGGTGCCAGCACAGGAAACTAAATGATGACGTGACGTGTCACTCACACCCCATGTGTGGTAGTGTGTGGTTGACCTGCTAAGAAGCTGGACTAGAAACACGTTCAGTGGTGGTGTTAACCCTGATATCAGATCGGTGGATTTCTGCTGTTTTAACCTAGACAAGTGCAGAGTCTGTGTGTGTGTCTCTGTGTGTGTGTAATGTATTAAGCTACTGGTGCCTGCAAACTCATATTCCCATTAAAAGTCTGACCCCAGCTGTGAGAGAAAGCCATGTGTGTGCGTTCATGTGTGTGTTTGGGTCAGCAGGTGACCAAATGTGTTTTGGTGAGCCTATCAGTACAATGCCTTTTATGCCTGAAGCGTTTCTCTGCAGTCTCTTATTACAGTGTCATGTGTGTCTGAGTGTGTGTGCCTGTTTGTGTGTGTGAGACAGAGAGAGGCTGATTCCACACACACCCACAGAAGCAGCGTGAAATGTGTTGTGATGTCTCCGCTATGGGAAGCTGTTTTGAGACCACAGAGGAGACGCTCCCCTTCTCTGACCTGCTCAAACTCATTGTCTTGCTGTGACACACGAGCGCGCACACACACACGCACACACGCACACACACACTGATTGCTCATTTTTTTTACCTCCATCCTTATGTCTTCTGTCTTCCAGCCCCTGCTTGTAAATGTTCTGAAACATTAGGTCCTCTGAGTTCATTGGTGGTTTACGATTTTGAATCAGTGCCTATCCTCTGGCTGAACGTGTTCCAGCAGCGTGTGAATCATTAGTAAAGGCTGCAGAAAATGCTTTCAGATCAGCAGTGAGTACGCCCCTGCATATCGCTTGATGTTGAATAAGTCACACCTGTATCACTTCTCAAAACTTGCTGTTTTTTTAGTTGATCAGCAGACATTTCCTCCAATGAATAGTCACTGAAACTCTGAACTTACTAAGAACATGAAACCACATCCTTTAGTCAAATAAATATTTTTTGGGTTCACATGGGTTTAAGCAGGTTAGCCACAAGCTTTAAACTATGAATCCAAATGCATGAATGCAAAGTCCCAAAAGTGAAGTACAGAAGCAGCGTGAGTGTGATGATACAGGGATCCATTAGTGCAAGAAGTGTTGGGGAGATAACATTTATAAATGGCACAATGAATATCTGTGGATATACCAAAATAATGACTGAGGGGGTGACTTCCACTCTAGAAAAACCAGGCAAAGGAGGGTTTTTAAATGCTTGGACTGTTTCCCTATTGGACGCCTACTAGGGGTTTCTTTTCTGATGTGAGTGGCTTCTGTCATATTTTGGGCCTGCTTCCTGAACAAAATGACTTTGTGTGCATCAGAAGTTAGTGAGGTTGATCTCCTACACAGTTTACTGGGACTAAAACCCAAAACCTGTTCTAATGTCTGTCAAAGCACATCTTTTCTACTTTAGTTGAGCACTCAAAGCTATTTATACAACATTCCCCCAATAACAAAAGCACTTTTTTCTACCCCAGAGCTTCCTACCTAACATTCACACACATTTATGCTCTGATGGTATTGGAGAGGAACTTGGGGTTCAGTATCTTGCCCAAGGATAGTTTGGCACATAGGCTAATCAAATCAAATAACCAAACTTACAACCTTAGTAAATGACCTGCTCTACTTCCTGAGCTGCAGCCACCCCAGTTGAGCGACCTCTGTAGTACGAACCTGTTGCAGTGCTGCATCTCATAGTACCATCCACATACAAGTAACTCTCAGAAGTTCTAATCTTGATTTTGTGGCTGATTAGAAACGTACTAATATTAATATCGTCAATCCTTAAACCTGTGAACTTTTAATATTAGGCACAATTGCTTAACTTCAAAGTAACTGACAGACCATCACAGTGCCACGTGATGAAGACAGTTTGGAAGAGAGGAATCTACAGTAATGCAAAAGAGGAAGAACAATTGAAATCTAACACAGAGTCCTGATGTGGAATGATTGTACAGTAGCACTTGGGATTAGACGTGATTAAATCCACTTAAATCCGCTGTTAAAACGATAAGGGCTTTTTTCTGTATGTTCCACAGCTGAAATATAGGTCACACAGAGCCAAGCAGAGATGCAGAGTTGATGCACACACATGTGCAGCAGTGTTCTGTTCCCTACAAAGAAAGCGCGTGCACAAAATCCAACTACCACCACCACCTCCATCACCACTTTACCCGTCTCCCAGGGCAACAAGAGCAGAATCTACCAAGAGGCATGTTGAGAATGAAGGAGAGGAGAGGGGAGGAGAGGAGCAGGAGGAGGAAGGAAAAGAGCGAATGAAGGAACGGGGAGACGGACACAAAAGACAACCCAATCTACCAAGACTTATTCTAATAAGCTGCTAGGAGGAGGATACTATAGGGGTAATCCCTGCTGTGGGACACCCGTCTATGGGTGAGTGTGGATAATGTGGCTACCGTCTGATGGATACAGATAATGGAGTACATGCTCAGACAGTCATATCTGGCCTTGGCATGTGTAAAAGAATGATGTCTGGTTTATTTACATACAAACTACTGCCTAAACTCTATGTGACAAACGCATGTTCGCATGTAGGTTTTCATGCAGTGTCCTCCTTCAGTGTTGCACACATGAAATTTAAGTAATTCCTGCTTCCAATTTGTTCAGAAACCAAATTATACAATCGACTTAGCCAATAACCCTCCAAGCTCGAGGAAACATTGATGTTTGGGATAAGTTCTCCATAATAAACTGTTTAAATCTCATGCAGGGAAACTGAGAATAACTAGTCCCATGTCCACACAATTTTACACAGTATCATTTTTTTGTATTCTTTGGCTAATTTGCCATAAAAGAAATCATGTTAAATTACCAAAGAGCACTAAAAGGGTTCTTTGTGAATAAAAGTGTGTTAAAAGATGCCTGTACCCTGTTTAGCCTATCCCACCATCATAAGTGACAGAAAAGTTTATTATTTGGCTTCGCTGGGTTTATTCTTCCCACAATTGTGCTGTAGACCTTCTCCATGCTGCCCCCCACTCTACAAAATTACTTGCTTCTATTTTCCTTATCATAGCTGCCCTACAGCATCCTGTTCCTCCCAATCATATCTGCCCCTCCTCCTCCCCTTCAACCACCACCTCCCTCTCTCCATAGGGCTCATGCTGGGTGGGGAGGCAGCAGTGGCAGTGCTGGCATCTGTTCGAAGGGCTGGTGCGTTGCCAGCCACCGAGCATCACTCCGGCAGCCAGAGTCACACTGTTGGATTTATCTCCAACCTGTCAGCTGATGCTTTTTGTGGGCGTTAAGCTGGGCGGGCATAACCTTTTTCTTTTCTTTTTTTTTGGGTGGGATGGGGCATTCACACTGCCAAAGTGGCCACAAGAGACTTGGGTGGGGTGCAGAAGTGAGAGAAGTGAGTGGCTTTTTATTTAAAAAAAAAAAAAAAAAAAAATCACTTCCAGCACAAGCTGAGGGCTGAAGCTCTCAAAGAATAGAGCATAAAGCTGTTAGGAAGGGAGAGCGCAAGCAAGGGATGAAGAGTATATAAGGCACAGTGAGGGGGGCTTGAAAAAGTAGATAAAAGGTAGAGTCTGAGCAGGAGAACAGATCAAGAGAGTGACAGGGAGCCCAGGAGGAAATCAAACCCACATCTGAAGCTTACAGGAGCACATTTCTGGTGCAGACAGAGCAGCTCAGTTGAAAGGTCATTCTGTCACCTTGTGGCTTAAGTACCATTCTAATGCTTTTTAAAAAAACAAAAACAAAAACAAAACCCAACCCATACTCAATTAAAAAGTAAACCCAACCTGTTAGACTGAAGCGGAGCTCATTAAAATCCAATCTAGCTACCGTCGAGTATTGCCCACTAAATGTCCAATAATCCCAATCAGTCTCCGCAGTCAGCGACACACGCCTGTAAATGTCACGGCATTCCTGCATGAAACTCTCGAGACAATCAGCAGCAACCGGCGTGCCAGAGGACGGAGTCATGCGCTCGGTGTGCTGGTCCCTGCCATCAGTGAAGAATCAATTGGCCGCTAATGGAACCATTTGAGCAATTAGTACCATGACAAATTCATAAGCGATGATTAGTAAAGTTGGTTGTCAGTGCAATTTCCTGATAGGATCCAGTTCAGAAGCATAAGCCACCAACCCCCATTCCCCTTCCCTAACATAACACTAATACAATAACCGAAGGCCAGAAAAGCAGAAAATTAGTGGTTAGCCCCATCAAAGAGCCAGAGTACTTCAGAAGAGCCGGCATTACTCAGCATTTAGATGTCATGTAACATAACCCTGAAATGCTATCGCTCCCTTTCACATAGGACTCCATCTGTGAAACCATGCTAGATGAATTATGAGACTTTAAAACGCTGAGAACTGATAACCAGACTGACACTATCTCCACATAGCCAGAGAAAAATAAAAAAAAGAAATCATCTTTTGAAAAAAAGAAAATCTGCTCATGTCAGAGGTTTGCTTAGTAAAGAAATTCCTGTGGCAATGTGACTTTGATCCAGGATCAACAGTTTCTGCGCTCTATTGTGTAGAACAACTGAATGGGAGATTCCAGAGGGGCCCCAAGCAAAATGATTAGGAGCCAACTCTTAGTATAACTTCATTCATTCCAAAGTTATATTTGGAATTTAATCGGTTATCTACAGCATCCACCATTATCCATTCATGTGCATGTCTTGTTCTGGAAAAAAACAAGACATGCACTCCAGATTGCAGTATTTAGACACTGAAGCCTGCCGCTGAAAATCCAGAGTTCATCCAAAGGTGCCTGCTCCTATGGAAGCAGGAACGCAACTATATGTCACGGCAGGTTCAAACTCCAGGAAGCAGCGAGCAAAGGAATTATTGTGTTTAGTCAGCCAACACAAAAGACTCTGTACGGGCTACTTACGACAATTCTCCTCATCGCTGCTGTCGGGGCAGTCATCATCTCCATCACATCTCCACACGATCGGGATGCACGCTCCGCTCTTGCATTGAAACTGCCCAGTCTCACACTCTGACTGCGTGTGAGTTCCTGTGTTTTGAGGGAAATATTTTAAAAAAAAAAAAGAAAGAAAGAAAGACAAACTGTCTGTCACTTTCATTTCTCATTTAGAGATCACATTATGAATTTCACAGGAGTGAATCAGAGAAACAAAAATGCAACAAATTACAAACAAGTTTGGGAGGTTAACTGACAAACTTTCATTTGTGACTAATGAAAGTGGGAAATTGGTAAAGTTGCCCCAATTAATAATGTTGCTGCTGTAATCAAGTAATAATTCAAGTGTTTTTTAAATGCCAACTATCCCTTTTTCCACCATGACTGTAATGGGCATGCTGTTGTTTATGTACCACTATGCCACCTTTGGTTAACTTAGGTTGCTGCCGAAGTTCCTGCTGGCACTTAAACATTCAGACCAATTTCAGGCTATTTCATCTGTTCAAAATGTTAGCTCCAATTACAAAGAATGCATCCAATGCACACCATTACAATCTCCACTCAGCGACCACATCACCACTGACAGCCTTTTTCCATCTTCCAGCATCAGCTAGAGAGCATGTGCTGCCCTTTATTTCATTCATTGTCACCTCCTACCGCCGTTAATAGCAGTCCAAATGCGGACATAAGTATGTACGCACGATGCACACAGCACATTATCTCGGCACTTAAGAAGACGCCGATCGCACTGACAGACAACTCGTTTGTTTTGTTTTGTTTTTCAAACAGGCAACCCAGATCCCATGAGAAAGCGTTGCCAGTGTCCGCGCTGCGATGCAAATTCACCCCTCTATACCTCGAAACAAGTCCCCTACCTTTAGCGCAATGGAGGTCCAGGAGTAACAGATGTAATAGCACGAGCTTTCCGACCTCTGTCCACATCGTTAGATCCTGGGGGGCTCCGCGGTTGTCCGCATGTAAGTAAAATTTCCTCCCCACCCACCCAAAAAAAAAAAAAAAAAAAAAGACAGTGTGAAGAATCTCCAGCGAGTGACTCGCTCCGTGCTGCTCTGCCAGCCTGTCTGCTCGGAGTGTGTGAGTGTGCTCAGCCCGGCTTGCTGCTTTCTCTCCCTCTGCCTCGGCTGCAATTTGAATCAGTGACGCTTATGGGCGGGATAGTTTCAGCGTGTGATGGTGCCTGCGGTTAAAGTAGTAGGTAGGAAAAAAAAAACTACGTGATTGGCTGCTAGCCAGAGGAGACACATCTGCAGAAAGAGCTGAGTCACAGTCACTTTTCTTTTATTTCCTATTGAGCATTTTAGTAGCAAACCGAAAGTAAACTGCTAAATAAATAGTTCTGACTTCCTCATCTTGAGTTAGCTGGTAAGCTAGTCAAAGGCTTAAAAATTTAGCCAAAATTAAGGAAATGTAACAAGCAAGAGGAAGTTGCCCACCTCCGTGAAACAACGGAAACCCCAGACAGGTTCTCTGAAACGTGGTTCACTTTTTCTGGAAGTGGGTGTGTACTGTAATGCAGTTTTTCACTAGTCCTAACCCGGTAGTTTTGTGGTCTTAACCTAGCGGTTTTTTCATTGGTGTATCAGCAGGTGAAAATACAAAGGTGGCTGAATATAAGAGTTTAAGGGCTGCTGCGCAAAAACTGGAAACAAAGAACGTTCCTCAGTGACTATACAAATCCCTGTAAAATGATAATGTCCTTAAAGGTACAAAAAGGCATTTTATTTATGTTGTTCAACAGAAAAAAATGATGTTGTGCTCATAAATATTCACTGTTTAGTGTGTAATTATGTCTTCCAGTCACTTGATGTGTTCTCATGAACTTAGAATTTAATCCATTAAACAGAAGCGGGCGCCAGTTTGTGAAAGCCGCTCTGTTGTCACACCATCTTCAATACATTGGCTGAGATGGACGTTGAAATTCTGCCTAATCACGTTTAATGTATGTGGCTAGAAAATACTCGTAACTTTTCCATATTTACTGATATCCTCTTCCTACTCACCTCAAACCTCATCTCCTGACTCGAGTCAGGGCTCTAACACATACTTACTGTCAATTATTTTCAGCACTTATTGTCAGAAGTTGCTGTTTATGAGATTATAACATTATGCCAATTTACGCAGGGTTTGAGGTTCTAAAAAAAATACATCACACAGTCGAAATAGTTTGAATGAATGTTTATTCTCTAAGTGTTCAAGTCCAAAATGTTAGATCCATCTCAAAGAAAGTTTCACATCAGTTTCAGATCCGAGGTCACATTATTTTTTAGGCCGGACTCGTTGTCTTTTGTTCTTCACTAGTCCTATTTCGTCAGATGTTTTAAGGACATGCTAAACACCATGTCGCATAGCTCTTTAGGACTTACTCTGTAAGTGCAAAAATACTATTTTATACCAGTCAAACTGTGTTATCCTTGGCATTTTTCATAGGTGCCACCAACAAAAATGGGGGGAAGGAAGTATATGTTTTAGCAACAGGCGCTTAGTAACAAAGTGCTTAAACAAAAAGTGTCTTAAAAAAACATACATCTGAAAATGCTCAGGTACAAGGACTGGACCAGAAATGAGTGAAAAAGCAGATAATGTCCAAAGAAAAACGTTGAAAGACCTTCAGAAAGCTTAGAGAACTGTTGCAACCTCTTCAAAAATACAAAGGAGTGACTCAAAACATTTGCACAGTACTATATTTATTACTTTCTACTTCACTTGAAGGACACATAAGCAGTTGGCGGCCTTGTTCTTTTAAGACAACCTTGAATCACACAGTTGCTGATAGCTGCTCATGGTCATTTTTGGCTCTCCAAATCCCCCCAAATGTTCACTTTGTGCAGAGCCTCACCTCTTTATATCATTTATAATTGAGGGGATCAGTTGTTATTCCTAGAATTTGGCTCAACCTGAATACACAGTGCAGAGCAACATGCTGACAACATAATAAGTACCTGACAGCTAAATGAGAAGGCATATTGGTAATGTAAATCACACTGTTGTCCCAAACAGTCATGAGGTTGTCTTGAAAAACTGACCTTTGGCTAAATAACTGGAAAAACTGAGACCTTTTTCAGGAATAAGGACTCCCGTGTGCTCAAATCATATTCTGCTCCTACAAGCCAGAAACTGGTCACAATGAAATGTTCACTGAGCAGCACTCACTATTTGTTTTGTTCTCCATCAAGTTTTTCTTTTCAGTGTACTACCACATGGCGGGACTCGAGTGAGCACCAGATGAAAATTCATGTGAAAGCAAGCATGTTCAGTGGAATCACCACGTATTCATATAGTCTTCTCTCCAACACGGTGTGAAATAAAGCCGTGTTGTCTTTGCTCTGTAAATGTCCTTTTTAAAGTTTGTCAGCAGCATCCGAAATGGCCATTGTAATCCAGTGATAAATGTAAAAGATAACATTAGAAGTCCTCGTGTAATTTTCCCACATACATCTAATTTTCATGCATTGTGTTGCTATGGGAAACAATATAAGCTAGCTAATAAATGGGAACACCACTGGCAAATCATGTTTTATTCACTGGCAAATGCCGCAAGCTGGAGCTGTTTTTTAATGCTTTCTAGTGCATTTAGCAAGGTTTATTTTGGTTCCTCATCTTCTAAAGTAAGCTTGTTAAACAGTTGAGTAACTGCCGTGCTTTCATTTAAAAAATTGTAAGCGATATATGTCTTATGTTTTGTTGAAATATGAGGATGGTGGATTTTTAGCTGTCTGGAAGAATCATAGTGAATAGTTTAAGAATAAAACAAAGTTGGGGGTATGTAGAGTCATATCAGTAGAGATACTTAAAGCCAGAAAAGTGACCTTAAATCTTGAACTGAATGAAAAGTGTGTGCATTGAAAGGGAACAGCTGGGTCTGCACTGCTGTTCTATGCAGCAAGAGTTCAGTTTTGATTTTCTGCAGTTCAGCATGGCTCATGTGCATGAAATGACTTTAACACATGAATCAACACATGAATAATGAATAAAACTACTGTATAAATAGAAGGGGAGGAAAAAAATACAACTCGTGCCTCTTATACATTATTCAATAAAAAAAAAGAGTGTGAATGAAACATTAAAAAGCTAGCACAGGTGCAGAAAATGGTTAAAAGGGGGGGGGTGGATGTTTGGCATCACTTTCACATTAACTGCTAGCGGTGTTTGTTGTTCCTCGGGGGAAAGAGTACACCACAAAAGCAAATGCATATGTTATTGCTACAGGAGACATACCAGAACAGCTAGAGAAACTCAAGAAAACTTAAACTCTTATAGTATACAAATTGGGGGTTTTTAAACTGTGCGTATCTGGTTTTAGATCCTCTGAGTTTATTGCACATGTTTGACTTTTCATGTACATGTGATGCCATTTTGAAGCTCAGAGGATAACACCGTGTCTGCTGCACCTGTGGCATAGCCCCACAGTACTGGTGAACGTGAATATCAGCGAATTAAAAGGTCACATGCATAAAATAACCAACTTCCTGAATTATTGCAAGTGAGCAGCAATCTGCAGGAAGAAAAATCAGCTGCATTAGATGGAGAGGCTTTGAGATTGGCTAAAAGTACATAAAAAACTCTTTCTGCCAGTAGTATCTCATTGGAATCGGTTAAAATCGTATTTTTTGTGCATTGCCAACAGTGAGCTCAAGCTAATAATAATTCTTGGCATTTGACGATACAGTCTGCAGCCTAGTTGATTTTTTTTTTCTTTATATGAACAATTGATCAAATGAGTGCATTCGCTCCGCTGTGCTGTGAAAGTTCTCACCACTGTAACACCTGCAGATTATTATTACTCAGCTCTGTAGTTTCATTCAACTCTACAAAAGCTTTTCGCTGGTTTCATAGCTTTACTGTTTTGAGTTATTCTCTCCACTCTCATTAGTGCCATTTTTCAGATGTAGCTGCCAAAAGCCTTCTTCACAAAATCCCCCCAAAATCCCACGTTCAAAACCAACAACAGAGGATTTAGCATTCAAAGAGGCAGATAATATTTTCTCTCAAGTTAGTAGAGTCCACACAAAGTTAAAGATGAGTATTGGCTATTTCATCTGCAGGCCTTTAAAATGATCCCAGAGATTCCAGGTATGTCTGTGCAGTGGGAACTTGGACATCATTTTCAGAAAAATGAATTAAATTCTTTGAACTGCTCAACTGGGATAAACGCTGATTAATGAAAGAGGTTCTCAGACATTGTGATGAGATTCCTTTCCTTTGCGTCGAGTCACATTCACCCGCTGAAGTGGAGAAGGTCGTTGATTTCATCGGGCAGCAGCAGGGTCTACCTTAATGAAGAGAGAGTGCGATACGGAGGGCATGCTAGCAGCCTGCTATTGAATGTCTGAGGTGAGACCATGCAGCAGGGCAGTTCCACTGCAGTATCATGCTGTCATGTTTCGACACTATATTTAACAATTTCGGATTTCTTCACCCCCCCTTGAGGTCGATGCTGAAATCGTGTTCATCTTTCATCCCTGCACACACAGCTGGAGCTAACGTGTGCATTCATCTTTGCCAGAGGGTGGTGAGTGAGTCCGACTCAGACCTTCAGACCTTTAAGAAGATTGCTTTCCTCCTTTGTCTCTTTGCCCATCTCTCTGCCTCTCTTTGCCTGCGCTCACTCTATCCATGCTCGCTTTCTCTTCCTCTGTTTTTCGTTCCCACCGTTCTTCTTTCATTTTCTGTCCTTTCTTTCTTCCCTTTTTCTCTTTTCTACACTGCGCCCACTCTCTGGCACGAGACAGATAGTGCTGTCGGAGGAAGCCAATAGATCCGGTGGTCAGCAAATCTTGTGTGTTTCCCGCGGAGCATCAATGTGTGTGCTTGCATGTGTGTGTGTGTGTGTGGCACAGTACTGGATATGGGACAGGAGAGTCATCTGCTTTCCTGTCACAGCTTGTGACCCAAAAACCACAAGTGAGGTCTGGTCGATAGCTGGCCAGGTGCCTGCTGCAGGCGGAGAGGCGAGAGATGAGATTTTGACGTCATTTCATCATCAGACAATATAGCAGAAAAGGTTAGGAAGCTTGCTTTAATGTGCTCTGTTAGAGGATATGTATTATTGATTTTTGAATCCATATTTATGATGCTGTTTCTATGTATTTTCTTGGATTTAAAAAAATGAAATCAAGAACTAGCTTCTTTCAGTGATATCAAACTTAAAGCACTGTTTTTCCCTTTATCCTCTACAAATTTCTCAACGTCAATATTACTATTACTATTTAAATATCTATATTTCTAAACCATGCTATTTGAAAATGGAATGAAAAGCACTGTTTAAAAGTGATGTGCATCACCAGAGACAGTTAAAAAAAAAGAGACCATTTTAAAAAGGCATTCAGTATTTTTGTAAATTACTGC